ACAGCAGTGGCAACAATTGTCGGGGTAAAACCATTGGCAACGATGGTGGAAGCAATGACAATAGCAACAACATTATCGATATGAGAATCTATATTATCCTCAATATTGTTGTCAAAAATTAAAACTAATAAACTACTTAAGCAAGTTTGAGGCGCGAAATAATGTTTTTAAAGATAATTTTCACCTTTTTGAAGTATGAAACTTGATGCAAAAGGATAAAGTAGTTATCTCCCAAGATTCAACAAATTCTTCCTAAATAGTTTGCATAAAATATTAGAGATACAGGAGTAGTAGAAAATTAAAGGAAGAAATAACCCAACAACTTGAAGAGGTAGGCTAAGTAGAGAAGAAAAAGAAGAGAAAATTGATTTTCAGTATGTTGAGAATGAATGTGAAGCATGGTATTTATTAGGAATGAATGAATGTTTGGTGAGATATTTGAGGATAGAGAATAAACCTAAAATCAGGAAATAAATGTTTAAAATTTGATTTTGTAACAATTTAAAAATTAGATTTAAAAAGAAGATAATGGCAGAATATAGTTAAAATATCTTAACTGCCAAAATCAAAGACTAATTCCATAAGGTGAAAAAGCTAAAAATAAAAATATATAACCACCAAGGTACAAAACTGTCACTTAGGCCTAGCCCTTGTGTATACTCACACATAAAGAGGGGAATTCGTATTTTCTCAAGGCTCGACTTGATCTAGTGTGCATGCAAAACCATTTCTTTTCTAGCTTTCAACAAGCCTATAATGGGTTTGCTTATATAAAGCACTAACATCTTTTGTACCTAGGAAATATAGGATAAAAATCTTATGAAGTATAATTATGTATACAACAAAAGGTAGATAATTAAAAATTGAATTTCTAAGTGCTAACCTCCTGCAAAATGATAGATATTACCTCTGCCATAACACCAAGTGACTCTTGAATTTGTCAATCATTATGTTCCAAGTATTGGTGGTTTTTGGTTTTGCACCAAGCCGTATGCCCAAGTAAGAGAAAAAGAGAAAGTCGATTCCACATATAAGGGTGGACACCATGCTGTTGCCTATGGAAGCTTCCACTTTAATCAGATAGACATATGATTTGTTGACCTTTATCTTCAAACCAGACACAAGCTCAAACATCTCAAAAGACACTTGATATTCACTACATCATCAGGGTTGGTTTCCTTGAAAATGATTGCATCGTCTACAAACTAAAGATAAGAGATAGACATGTTGGAGTCCATAGGGGTATTGCCCATAAAGAGATACATACTTTTCGCTAGAAAAAGCAAGAGATGAAGAGCCTCCACTACAATGATAAAATAAGAAAGGTGATAATGGACTGTTGTTGGATTTTTTTATGCAAGTGCAGGCTATCGTGAATAAGTAACATAGTTAAAGTAGAGGATCGTTCCTATAGGGATTTGTTCCTAAATTTTTACTGAGTACTAAAATCTTATATTAAATCAATTTTATTTAAGCAATTGAAATTTACAGAAAATTAATTAAAACAAAATTAAAATAAACACTAAATCTATTAACAAAAATTAAATATACTTTTAAAAGATAGTAGACTAAAAACTTAAGATTATGGGTTCATTCAATATTTCATTTAATACTAGCATCTCTAATTATTTACCTTACTGAGTGATTTTATTAACCTAGGATCCAAAGCTATGTATAAGTTTCCGTCAAGATGCTTGCATAAATATCTAACTTAATCAATTCACTATATGTCTATAGGAATCAATTAAATTAAGTTCATTAAGTTAGTGTCTTAATTTGGCTATGTATGGCAATTAGTTTATATCTACCCGAATTGCGAATTAGATCACCTAAGTGATGTGAATATGCACTATTTAAATCCTAGTCTAATTTAGAATCTTTCTATTGAGTTTCAATTAAATTCACAAATCAATTAATTATCGATAAGATAATTAAAGGCATTAAGAACATATTCGAATAAGCAAAATTATACCCATTCATGATAAATAAAAGAGAAACTAATATTCAAATTACATGTTGAAATCCACCATAATCCTAGAAAAGCAAATTACTTCATGATATCTAAATAAAATAATATCCAAAGAAATTTAACCATGAATTCAAACTAAGAAAATAATTATAACATAAAAAAGAGAAATAAACTAATGCTGAAGCTTTGTTGATCTCGAATCTCTCTCAATTGCACTTGTTCTCTTACTTGATTCTTAATTCCAAATCTCTAAAAAAGCTTCTGTTATTTTCCCCTCGAATGTTTTGAAAAAACTCTTTAAATAGGCTCTAAAAGATTTAATTTCTATAATCCTATCAAAAGTTTTATTTTTGGAAAACATTGTGGTGTCATGGCCATGCTTCCTTGGCATCGTGGTGCTATAGCTGTCTTGTGGCGTCGAGGCACTACTTCTTCAGCACTGTGGCCTCTGGCCTCAGGAATTTGTTTGGTGCACTCCAATTGTCCAGTGTTGCGACCATGATCTTCCTAGTGTTGTGGCCCTAACTCCCTCAATGTCACCACCTTGAGTAATTCAAGGCTGCAACCTTCAACTAACATGCTGTCTTGTGCAGAGCTATAACCATCAGTCATTTTCCAATGCAATTTTCACCTTGATTGGATCTAAATTGGGTGAAGTGATAAACATAAAAATTGTAGCCCGTTCTCTTAACTTTCCAATAGATAAAGATTCTTATTAATTGGATTTTTGTAGATCAAGTTATCTTTAAAATATTATAGCATGTACAAATAAAACCTTCACCATACTCATACAATTTTAACTCAAATGCGCCTTTCTCATTAAATATCCTACAAAAATTATGAGAGGAATCGACAGTAACCCTTTTTAAAGTAAATTAAAGCAAAATAAAGTAAAAATAAACTAAAATAACTTAAATTAACTACTTAACATGTAATCTAACTTAAATTAAAAAAACACTTAAAATGCTAAAATTTAAATCTAGAATCTCAAAGATCTAGCTACTTAAGCTCTCAAAATGTGTCAAAATAATTTTATATAATAGAGTTATCATGGATCACCCAATTAAAGTTCCTACATCATCATAAATTCAGAGGTAGCCAACTCATTGACTAGAACGGAGAAACCATAACCATGAAGCATCTTTGTCAAGAGGTGGAATGCTCACAATTATCAACATCAAAGAATTTTGAAAAAAAATACAAGAGCTAGTAAAATTCAAGACGAATTGATAGACAACTTTGAGAGCTAAAAAGGAAAAAGTAAAAAATGTGATAATTAATATTACAAGTAGTACTATTATCTAACATTTACAAAAACTGATTTTTTAACATTATGCTCAACTATTTCTAAATAAAAACAAACTTTGATATATTGTTTAAGTTGAAGAACATTGTTATTATATATCTCATCACAAATTCCAAAAATCCCATCGTAAGTGGCCTCCTATAAATATTATGTTTGCAATAATATTGTTTGTTCAAAAGAACCATCAATAAAGTTCATACATATATGTCTCTCTAAATTATTGCTTAGGGCCTTAGGCCAATTAATATCAAATGCATGATCTTAACTACCCACCACAAGAAAATAGCTAACATTAGACTCATTATCTTATCCCAATGATCTTATGACAAAATTTAGCCTCCCATTTACCAAACCACCCACTTCACAATCATTAACTACAGAACCTATTTCAATCACCTATTTTGATTAAATAAAATAAATGTAACATTTTATTTATTTTTAATTCCTTTTCTTCTATATTTATCTTCCCCCTGGATTGTTACATTTAGCAAAAGTTGCTTAGGTTCAAAACAAGAAAATAGAAAAACGCATGGTCAAAGTCAAGAATATGGAAAATGTCTTATAATTCCAAAAGAAACTACTTGGTATCATAAATTCGACAAAGGCTGGTCGCGTCGCCTGCAAAGATGCTTGTGAGAAGGAGTCAATGTTCACGGCCACGTATTTTCCAATCCAATGAAACCTTGAGCGGGTCTTCCATTCTTGTATTTATATATATAATAATAATAAAAACATTAGATTAATTTAATCATAAAAAAATAAAATTATAAAAATACATAGTCGATATCTACAATACGGTGTAAAACACAATTTGCATTTTATAATATACAATTGCCAATGCTTTGGGTTTTTCAAACATTTCTTTTTAGCTGTTTGGATTCAAGTTTTCTTTTAATAACGACCATATAATAGTTAGATTAAATTACATAACTCTCCTTGCGGACATATTGGTATATTACATATTTTCGTCTCTTGCAATAAATTAATAATATTAATTAATTTATGAATTATTGTTCCATACACATCAACAATGGAATTTTTAAAATATACAAATAGAATTAAATGATTAGTATGTATATTTAATAATTAATTAATTTATAAATATATTTTAATGAGACACGTGTTACCTTTTTAGTGCTATTTGATAGAATTTAAAAAAACCACGTTAGTGTATAAAATAATTTTCTTAATTTATAGCATTTTAAAATACAAATTACAGAAAGAAAAAACAGTAAATGAATGTTATATAGTGATATTAAATGGGTTTTATGATCCAAAATTAAATATTTGCTCAAAATTTACTAAAAACATGTGTGGATGATTTTTGAGGAAAAAAAGGGTTTAAATTTAATAATTTCAAATATAAATTTTATATTTCAAATTGGGAAAATGTTAAACAATCCAAAAAAGAATTTAAATTCCTAAGGAGTCTAAAATCTCAACTGAGACATAAAAATTTATGTCTTATTTTTTTTTAAAAAATGCTGTCATCCTTTGGGCAAGTATACAAGCGAAGGGTCTAAAAGGGCAATTCCATCCATAACCTTTGGCGTCCAATACCAGAAAAAGGGTTAGAAAACCAAACGGCGACCAGCTATTGAAATTACGTAATAATCCTTATCTTTGGACGGACGTTACCGAGCCTAAACTCCAAAGCTTCGTTGAAACCGAACCTCAATGTCTCTATCCAAATTACTAGAAGTCTTATTTTTTTAAAATTTATTTTTTTATATATAAAAACGGAAAAATTGAAAAACTCTTCTCCTGTCAATTAGTTTCATTTCCAAGCAAAGCAAAAGAAAGACCTTAGACTTTTCATTAAAGCTTTATAAAGAGAAGAAAAGAAAACATTTCAGACTCCAAAAAAAGCGCCATTTTCAGGTAATTTTTTTTATGTTATATGTTGGTTTTTTAATTAGTGAATTTGTTCAATTCTGATCAGGATTGTGGGATTTTTTTTTTGGACTTTGAATTGATTCTTTTTCGAGTTTGGTAATTTTGGTTGGGTTGTTTGGTTGCTGAGAAAATGAAGGAAATAGTTTCGTTTTTTTTTTTCCTTTTTCATTTTCGGTGGAAAATTGAAAAGTAAAAAAAAATGAAGATTTGGAGTGAAAGCTGAATGTTTTGTGGTAATTGGTTTATTTATTAATTGTTATTTGCTTGCATATATATATTTTTTTGGGTATAGCCTATAGGAAGAAAGTTTAAAAATAAATATATAAAAAGAGAAGATTTTGAATTATATTTGTAAATAAATTGCAAGAGAGAGAGAGAGAGAGAAAGGGTATGTTATAGCATCTGATGTGCAAGGGGTTTCAGTAATGACACTAAAATGAAAATTAAGATTTTGATTTCTTATATGTTGCCGAACTTTATGATATCTAGTGTTCAGTTTTAGAGTCAAAGACTATGTATGTTAGTTTTGGAAGTGCATTTTGCAGCTTTTGCGATACATATTGATCTGACTTTAAGAGGAATTTTTGCTACATTGTTGTGTTTTGTCAGGACCTTTCCTTTTGGATAAAAAATGGGTGATCATCTGGTTTTATGCGTTGACTGTCTCATAACACCCGAAAGTTTGCAATCAATGCAAGAAGCTGAGGCTGCAGGATCTTCTAGTGAGGGTTCTTCTCAAGTTGCTGAGCCACATACTTGTGCTGTTGATGTTGAGGAAGCGTATGAACATGGTTCCTCAGAAGAAGAACCACTTATCCAGACAGTTGAATGCCGAATCTGTCAGGAGGAGGACAGCATTAAGAATTTGGAGACACCTTGTGCATGCAGTGGCAGTTTGAAGGTATTCACTTTTTTGGAGCATTTTGAGACTTGACTCTTTTCTGCTCCATTTATAGCATGCTATTAGCTCCAAAATTTTGCAATTGCCATTAGCTGTAGTACTGTAAAGTTCCTTTTTTTATGGAAAGATATTTGTGAGCTATGCTTGAGTGCCATCATGATGTGGAGAAAGGGCTTGATGGGTTTTTCCTTCGTTTTTACCGTCAGATTACTTCTAAGCAGTTCTTCTTTAATCATCATATGATTTTATTGGCTCATCTTTTGAGTTTTACAGTATAATAGCTGTGGCTGACAAATTTTTCCATTATCCAGTTTGCCCACAGGAAATGTGTTCAGCGTTGGTGCAATGAGAAAGGAGATATAACATGTGAGATATGTCATCAGGTAAACCCCTTCTTAAGAATCTGGAATTGTTGCTTTCTTATCAGTTCAACTATGAGGAAGAAATCTGCTGCTTTTTGTATTTGCATTTCGCCCACACATCAATTTTGCATAGTCATGAAAGTAAACAAGTGTCTGGTTTTAGAGGGTAACAGTTCTACTTTCCTTTCTTTTTTGTTGATGAATCACTAATTAAGTTGTTGATTAACGCCAATGATGTATAGTTGCGCATTCACCTGGTTGTATGATGTTTTCTGTCACGCATTGAAGATGGGGAAAAAACCTTTATATTGTGGCTATTTTTTATTTCTGATGCAGAAAGAATGAACACTAGTTATATGGTAGCTTTATTTTGCTGTAATGTTTGAGCTCCCTGATCTTGAAGGAAGTTTTCAGTTTTATTTTTTATGCTGCCTGTTTGTTTAGGTTGACTCGTGATGTCAAAATCTGATGGTTTTGTATTGTTTATTGTAACTTTATGCTAGCAACAGTCTTAACTGCTCCAGGATATTTATCTTTGCTCTTTGGAATTCTTGAGGGAATAACTTTTGTGATTTTATTTTCATAAGAGAAGTTTGATGCTTTGTCCAGGTCGCAATTTTTTATTTTCTTTTAGCGGTTCTGGGCTTCATCTTTTAACCCCAAATGTAAAATCAGTTATGTCATAAAGGGTTTTAAGTGTAAAAGCATTAACTGTGATGTGTAAAATATGGATAATCCTTCTGTTTCAAGGTGCTTGGATGGAACCATTCATGTAAAATGGAGCAGTATTTCGGCTGTTTTCTTCAAGTAAAATTAACAATAATATTAATCAAAGGTTCCTTTCAATACCTGGTCCTTTATTCTAAAACATTTAGAGAGTATTGACCCTTCATTGCATGAATGACAGCTAGTATATCCTGAAATTCAGTCACCATAGTATATTGTTCAATGTTCCTTCTCATCTAACTTTATGTACCTAGTTGTTGTCAATTGGTGAACTCATCCTAAATTAACTTATGTCTGAAGTAGTTTTTTTCTGCTAGTGGAAAATGAGATGTACATCAGCAGCCACCTCTTGATTACCAAGCCTTGTGGAAATCATGATTTGATCTGAAATGACTTGAGTAACAGATTGCAAGCTACCTGTATGCAAGACTGTATTATTATAGACATTTTGTCTAGCGTTATCTTTCTACGTACTTTGTGCTGAGGGTTAGATATTGCTGATCTACCTCTTTTATGTTCCACATGACATAGGTTTTGCTTTGTGTGTTGAAGACTTAAAATGTGTCTGGCTTAAAGTGAAGTTTTGCCTGCTAATGAAATGGGCTTCTGCATCAAGCTTTTGATGAAATTGTTTATTTTGATGTTGCATGGTTTCAAATGACAGAAGAGTTTATTTGCAAATATCACTGGTGCATGGTATCAGATGCATTTGATATCACTTTGCTACTAGCTGCTACTTGGTGATTTTGCTGTCCATGTGATATATAAAATATGTGTGTGTATTTCTTGGAAGATTCATGCGACAACTATGTTTTCATTCTTTAAAATATGTTTAGTTTTGAGTTGAATTATCTGACAGACCAAATTTACTGACTTTTCTTGCAAAAAATCTTTGATTCGCAGCCTTACCAACCAGGATATACTGCGCCGCCACCTCCCCCTCAGTCAGAGGATGATACAATTGATATCAGGCAAGTCTCAAGTGTGTGATTACTTACCCAAAGGATAGGCTTGATAAAGATCAGTTTTGCTCTAATTTTGCTGGCTTTTTTATTTTTTGGTTTTTTGTAATTGATGTTGGTCCTGTAACCATAATTGAAACTTTGATATTTCTAAGAGGCTTTTCTGTTTGTGAGGATCTATCTCTGTCAGAAGCTGTTTGGTAATCTGTGGGACAGGTTGATATCTTATGCTCATCACATTTGACCGTTTATTATCTTATATGATATGTTGATATAGTGAGGGTTGGACTGTCCCTGGGGCTCCTTTGGATTTGCGGGATCCTCGAATTTTAGCAATGGCAGCTGCTGAACGCCATCTTTTGGAGGCAGATTATGATGAATATGCTGATAACAATGCCAGTGGAGCTGCATTTTGCCGCTCTGCTGCCCTAATTGTAAGTTTATATTCCTCTAAAAATAAAACAATTTTTATTGGCTGTTCTTACTTAATCGCATGTCTTAATAAAAGATCTTGGTGGCTCCTTCCTTTCATTTCCTTTTATAAGTTTTTTGCTCACAATAGATCGAATATCAATGTTCAAGGCATCTTGTGTGTTATGCAATGCAGTATTCTTTCATCTGGCCGTGTCTTGTTGAACTGGCAGTGTCCTAGTCATCAGCCTCATCTGTAGTTTTACTTTAGATTGTTGAGTTGGGTCCTAAATCCAGAATTCCTAGTTTTTGCTTTGGGAGGAAAAATAATCACAATTTTGGTTCTCAGTTGGATTACACATTTTACCTGTCCTTACCTACTTAATCAATAATTAATGGGAATAGCTGTCAATTTTCCTTATTTTCTTTGCTTATTTGCAGCTAATGGCTCTTCTTCTCTTGAGGCATGCTCTGTATGTAACCAATGGAGGTGCAGATGATGATGCATCTACATTTTTCTCTGTAAGAATGGCATGAATTTGCGTTAATCTTTTAGTAATTTATATTGTTTAGTTGTATAATTTAAAATTTTTTATGCTACACAGCTTTTCCTCCTCCGTGCTGCTGGCTTTCTTCTCCCATGTTACATCATGGCCTGGGCCATCAGCATACTGCAGCGCCGAAGGCAGAGACAGGTAATGGTTTGTGCTTTCTTAAAAATGACAGCACTATCTTACTTAAGCATGTTGAGATTATTGATCTAAACCACAGAACAAGAATACTGAAAATGTAGATTTTTGTCTGCCTTTTCAGATTTGTTCTCCAAATGCTTGATAAGAATGAGATTTATGTAAAAAAATATTGCAGCAAAACTGTTGGCTTGTAGGTAGTTTTATTCATTAGAAGCCAAAATTCAATTAAGAACTTCAAGGTTTTCTGTGTATGATATCCTTTTTGTCACTCCTAGTAGTCCAGTTTCCATAAAGAAAAGCTAAATGGACTCATGCTGTCTTAGCTGCTTCATGACTATTTTAAACTGTCTATTACTTGGTTTCTTTTGGTAATTAATTCATTTATTTTTCCCCTATCGAAACAGGAAGCAGCAGCCCTTGCAGCAACTGAAGTTGCATTTATGATACAGGCAGGGCAACGTCGGGGTGTACAGTTCTCTATTGCACCAGGACCTGCAGCCACACCTCATCAGGAGCCACTTCAATAATGTGACAGTCCTTTTCCTTGGGAAGAGGCTATGGTGGTGAAGAGTGTAGGTTAGTAATGAAACTATGGGTAAATTGTCTTACTCATTCTACTAGCAGTGAAAGAAAATGGGGAGATTGTGTTCCTCGCATTTGTAATGTTGTACTTCTAATTGTTTTTCAGAAAACCCTGAAGATCCTTTTTTTCCCTACTTATTTGAAGGCATCAATGTCACTGTTTATGTTTGTACATAAATGTTGAATCTCATTGCCTCATTTTCACTGCATGAGGAACTTGTATTCCTGGAGTTGTTGGCACAGAAATATAATTCCAAACTTTCTAGGATACTCCTAAGTTTCAGGTGGAGTTGAAGCGGAGTTTTCACATTTGAGACAACTTCAATAACTCAGCCATTTTTTATTGTTACTGTAAAAGGTTTTCTTTTTTAATATATACTCTGCTTTATCTCTACATGTTTAACTTATCCAATCATGTCATAATGCAAAATGTTTTCCTCAGTTTATCTTGTTTATGGAGGTGAATGCAGCAGTTGATTGCTCTTATTACATCATGTACTGGTATCCTGTGAGGGTGATTATTGTAATCAACATCTTTGTTGTCTTTGTTGTCATAGTCTTTCTTCTGTTACTGTCATGTGATGAATAGCCTGGTTTAAACCATATTCGTTAAATTTTTGCTAATTAGGGAAACTCAGTGGTATAAATTACTGGACAGCATTCTAATGTAATGAGAAATCCGGTTTTAGCATTATCCTATTCCTACAGCAGGTTATTTCATGACTTTGCATCCTTTTCCCGTTCCTTATGTTGTAGAGATTCTGCTAACTTTTTATGAGCGCTGCAACTGCATTCAAATTTCAGTCTGCTGGTTTTAAGGGGGCTTCTATGTTTATTATTTCTTAACTGTATTTGTTATCCTCCTTTGTCATGTACAAATATTTCTTTTTCTAATCCTCATGCTGTGTTTATAGTCGTTCAGCATTACTGGCCTTACAATTATCAAATAATGGTGGCTGTTATCATTGAGATAAGATTGTTAATTGTTAGTTGTGTTTTTGTTTTGGTTCTAATCAATCATTACTGGGAAGTTATAATATATTTGATTACTCTTATTTGCCATGAAAAAGTGTCAGTCTATTGCTTGCTTTTATTCAATTTATCAGTTTCTTTTCTTCTCCTAATAATTGGTGGACCCTGATGAATCCAAATTGGGATGGAACCATTGTGCTGGAACAGCTAATCTGGGGTCTTGTTTTCTTTAGAAAGAAGTTGTCAAATCCTAGCTATTAAATATCTGCAAATTGAATTTCAGACTACCTTTTGACATGTTCAAGAAGAGTAAAACATTTGGATTCACAGACATAAGAGTAATGTTATTTCGTCCTGACTTTGTATTGTTTGATTATTTACAAAAGGTTTGAGGAATTTTATAAGTATTTATCTTTTGTAAGTAGTGGGAACTATTTGACACCCTAGGATGATGGTGCCTTGGAGGAATACATGATGGCTCTAGGGCTTTATATTCTGTCACATGCCAAATTTTGGATGTGCTTTAGCCTGAATCATTGAAGATGGTGTAGATAATTATGAAGCATGCATGAGTAATGCGGATGAGAGTGAAATCCTGTAAGAGAAGTTTTAAAGGGAAATATGATTGATGGTGAATGATGGTTTGGGAAAGCAACAACTCATTCAATTTCTTTCTTTTGCTTTATAAATGGGAATGAAGTAAAGAAAAGGGCCCACTCTACTGGATTATGTTAAAACTGTTGTGTATTAGGTTTGGACCACGACCTGTCCCCATCCTTCCAACGGACAATGCAAGCATATTCTTCCTTTTTCTCTCTCGGAGAAATCACAAAGCCGGAGACCATGTTGGAAACTCCAAAAAACGGCATAATCTTGCCAATAACCATGGATTTGGGTGGGTTTCTTGCTCTTCCTTTTTCCCCCTCTATAGAAGGTAAGGTTTTCTGTTCAAACCTGGGATCAAAAAGAACATGGACAAGGGTCAGATAAATTTGCCTATTGGTCATGTATTTGGATCAGTTAATGAAGAAAAGAAAAAACAAATGCTCTGTAAAGTTTTCTTCAGTTTCGAAAATTTGCCTCAAAGGCCAATTTATTTATTTAGTGCTTTATTTTTGTGTCTTAAAGCAAGGGTCCCTTCCCTTGTATTAATTTAAATTTCAACGAGAGTGAGGGGCCTTCATGGATACACGAGAAAAAAAAATAAAGAAAAGCAACAGGGAGACAAGAGAAGGCCAAACAAGGGAGAGAAGCCCTGAGATGGGGTGTATTCTTTGAGACTTTGAATGGAGGCCTAGAGTTGGGCAAAACCAAAGAAGAGAGCAAAGGAAAGAAAAGCATAAAGGAAACCCATTAAGCACAAGGAACCAAGACTCTGATTTTTTGTTGCATGGAGAGGAGAGCTTGGAATTCTAAAGTTGGTTTAGCATAAAGCAAGTGATTGGTTTTTTTTTTGGCGATGTTACTGTTCCTCAGCCTTCCCCCAACATCTCTACTTTTAATGGCTTTCTTGTTACTGTAACTATCTGAATTCTGGCTGGCTCATGGCTTTGCTTTGCCCACCCAAAGTCACTTTAGTTGTCATGGCTAATCATATGCATACTAACGCAATTAACTCAACAGATTTCCTTACTCATCAGAACTTGTTTTTCTCAATTTGTATCCACAGAAAAAACACACAAAGTTTTTCTAAATTCAGAAAATCATCCTTCTTAATGTTTCAATAATTTTCTTCTATTATCCCGGGGAGAAACAACAGAGCCGGAGGAAAAATTGAACAATATGGTGTCCAAACCTGGTTGTTTATTTATTAGTAGTATGAGAATTATAATCATGGATAGATACCAAAAAATATTCCCATTACTTGGTCCTAATATGATGTGTTGAATTTATCCTACCCAAAACTATTGCTCTGCTCTCCTGAGCCATGTACATATTTGTAAGCTATTAGCCAGGCATAGGTTGAAGACATGGAGCAAGTACATGTCAGTATGGTCGGATGATGTGGCAAGTCGGCTGAGAGTTCAGGAGGCTGGTCTTTGTTTGGTAAAAAAGAGCAAGGCAAATGATAGAGAGATGTAGGGAAACCAAAATGAAAAGATACTTGTCTTCCCAAGGATAGTGTTCCAACTCTAACTTTTTGTTCAAACCTGGCAGAGTCTTCTAATACAGCCTTTATATTGCTTCTGTGGCAGGCTTATCATTGAGGTGAATCTAAACTTCCCTACATGTACTGGGGCCCCTCCTGCTTTACGCTTTTAGTCTTCCAAATCCCATAAAAGATAAACTTCAGGCTCGTTCCTGCAGATATAAGCCATAGGAAGTAGGCTGGTGCTGTCTCAGACAACATTGTTAATTTTCTCATCATTGCCTCCAGCCAGAGGTCTTCTGTCCCTCTTGTTTTTCCTCTTTGAGCTGAAACATGGTTTTCCCAGTTAATAGGGTCATTCTTCTTGCTTGTATTTGTCTCTTGGTAGTTCAACCAGAGATGGTTTCTGGCCTGAGAGGCATTGACCTTGCTCTCAGATGGGATAAGGGGTTGTTACCATTTGTTCAAAACTCACGCTTTCTCAAGGCTGTTGATGTGGACTCTTTGCAAACTAGACAGAGTTTGGCACCTGCACCTTCAATGATGTTTGATCCCAATCAGTCAAACAAAAGAAGAGTAAGAAAAGGATCGGACCCCATTCACAACAGATGTTGACACCTGAAGCTGTTTTTACATTTCACACAGAAGTGGGTGAGGCAGTTTGTCAGCCAAGGAAGTGATGGCTTGAGGCTATAACTGATGCAAGGAAAAGCAAGAGGATTTCTGCTTTCTCAGTTGTTTCTCCATGCGGGTTTATTGGGTTTTCTACATTTTCATTTGTTTCAGTCCAAACTTTTTTGGTTGAGCAGAAAAATTGCAGCTGTTAGCCAGGATTTTCTCTCCCTATATTGTATAAAACTAGGTCCTAACCAATAGAAGAATACCTAAGGATGATTGTACTTTCTATTATACACAAATGTAGCATGCTTCCTAGTTTTCTTTACCAAGAAAAAAGATTTAGTTGATTTTAGCTTTTGAATGTGGCAATGAAATACTCAAATTTCTTTTCAGTCGAATTTTCATTTCTTAAAGCTTGCAGGTAACGTATGATGCAATTCTTCAAACTAGGAGCTCGAGGCCAACATAGCCTTTGCAAAATCTTCTATATACTCTGTTGTGCTGGGTATTTAATTCAGCCCGTGCATCAGTCTCAGAGAAAGAAATGAACAAGCCTGATGAACTTTAACCGAATGATTGAATTTGTGTTCTCAGAAGCAAAATATGTATTGGACCCACAAAACACACTCAATGCTCAGCATGAATAAAGGAGTGAAAAGAAGGCCTTTACAGATCTTCAACAAATCCATGTTTGTTTCTCATTAAATTTTTTTTTTTTTTTTAAAATGTACAACCAGCTATAAATCTTATGATCTCCATAGAATGCAAGGCTAAAATCATCTTGATCTTACAACTGGTTGTTTATCATTTTATCTGCTCTGATCTGCGATATCTGTTCTCCCTATGAATTCTAAATCGTACTGGAGAAACCTTACGTGCAACTGCCTCCCAAATCATATCCACTGCATCACAAGGCAGGGATGGGTACTGATACTGAAAGTGCCGAACAATTTCCTTCAATTTTTCCCACTTCTTGGTCCACTTCTCTCTCTTAATTCCTCTAAGAAGTTGCAGTAGATATCCCTTCTCCACAGCATCTGATGCACGAACAAATATGCAAAACTCTGTGTAGTCAATGACGTCTTCAAATGGTAGCTCAATCTCATCACTTATAATCACAGGAACACAATGGCTGACAATAGCATCAAAGAGACGATTGGAAGAAGGTGTATCACCAGCAATATTGAGGCAGAATTTCGATGAGGTCATCCCTTGCCCAGCCTGGTTGACTCCATTCCCTTGAATGGTGCCAAATGCAAAGTGTACATCTTTCTCATCTTTGAGAAGGTAATACAGTTCCTGGCGAATGGCTCCTCCCTGAAGAAAAATTTCAGACCCAAAGTTATACTTATAGAGAGAGATCTAACCTGGTACATCCCAGGATGACAATTTCAGACTTCAATTCAATTAGTAAGCAAGTATAATGAGAAATGTTACTGCTGGTTTAACTTAAGAGAATGGGAACGGTAATTGAGAGGGCACTGAAAATCACACTAACAAGAACCATGGCAGTCATATTAGTATCACAAAAGGTAACTAGGAATTGGTTCCCTTTTCTCTAATCTGCACTTGAAATAAGGAAATGATGTTA